TGTGTGTGTGTGTGTGTGTGTGTGTGTGTGTGTGTGTTTTAATGCACAGTCGTGCCAAACGGCAACTCATCGAGAAACAAAATGCAGGTAGATTGTGCTTGTATATTACTATTCTTATACTGTATGTGAATGCATAAGGATGCATCTAAGCTAATAACAAATAAACCGTATGAGGGAAAAGTGGTTTAGATTGCACGACTGTCCGTGTTTTTATGTTATGTGTTGTGTTTATTATTTTACTTTGTTAACTGTTTTGTTAAGCGCTTTGTTACAGCTGCAGCTGTTATGGAAGCGCCATATAAATCAGGATGTATTGTATTGTATGATAATACTTAAAGCTAATCAGACGTACTTAAGCTAATCAGACATTTAATTAAACTTTAGTTATAGAGCACTTGACTAAAACAGTGCTGCACATAAAGATCGTACATAACACATTCATCGGGATTAAATAGTTATAACGTTCTTCTTTTCAACATGTACACATAACATCAAAAACAAACAAAAAACATAAAACCAGTCCGTTTACACTTTACTGTACATTTACTGTAGCATCTAAACATAAATCTCGCACAACAGGGCGTCTCATAATAACAACAAACGTGTTCAATAAATACTAACGAAAAAAAGGAGTTACGAATGAATAATGATGTGCAATATCGACTTCGCCATATACGAGTTTCCAGATTTTAAAATCATGCTAATATGTTGTTGCTAACAGACGCGTTTAGCTTTCTGCTAACAATAACAACTATAAAAAAAGGTTCCAGTGATGCCGACAGAGGCGGTTTGAACGCGGTTACAATGATATTCACTTTCATCTGCATGGATTTACCTTTTTGTTTGTGACCTTTCTTAAAGGACGGCAACTTTTTCTTGCCTCTTCATGTAGCTGTTTAAGATGCTTCAAGCGAAACCGAACACGTAGAAACTTCCGGTAATAACGAAACGCACCGTGGGTAATGTAGTTGGTAGCCACTAGCCTGTGCATACGAAATCAAGAACGACAAATTTACGGATAGATATTCACAAGTTAACTTTAAATATTGAAATGATCTGTCCCTATAATATTAGATCAATTTGTAACATATGAACCTTTTACACACAAAAATTGCACCAGGCACCGCTTAGAGTATGACTTTTTCCCCTAACCATTTTCAAGCCTGAACATTTTGAAATAGCAATATAAAAACGTAATATTTTATCGCGAAAACCTTGGCGCCAGGAGGGGAAATGGTCTCTAGGTTTTTCCCGGTTCGTCCGCTAGATGGCAAAATGACTTTTGATGTGAGATTCGAACTCCGATCTGGAACGGAAGTCCAAGGACTTAGCCACTTCCGCTAACTACGTCGTTGTTTGTGGATATAATATCTTCACCGCTGTTCTGGTCCAGAAGGCCAAATAGCGACAGGTAAGATTTGGACAAATCCGATAAATTTGTAAATATTATGGTCCTGGTTTTAAAACGGGTAAAAATGACGTGTTATCTAGCACAGTCCCCAGAAAATCAGTTATAACACTACGTCCTTGAATAGTGCGTTTAGCTAATGCTTCTCCTTCCAGCAAGGTGTCATTTGGTTGCCACTTACTAGCTTTCTCTATCTTAAAAAGTGGTGAGTTTTTTTTTCTTTGAATGCTATAATGTACCAAAAACACAGATGTTATTACCTTAGATGTATTTCTGAAAGATTGTTGTACGTCTCGTCAAAAACGCTATTTTTGTTGTTGTTGACTGTGGGAGATGTACTGAACGAGTCAACATCCTAGTTTTTGGTGAGATCATCAGAGGTCATCATCAGATGCCAATGTCACGTAGTATGACCTAAAATTATTAGTTATTAACCAGAGATTTATCCATGTTCATCGGTTCATGCCAGCGACATCGAATGATAAGAACGATTAAACGCACTTGTTGGCAGACGATAATGTATGCCAAACGTGTAACCATCTGTTGTCATGCGTACAAAAGAAAAAGTAACAACTTCCTGCTAGTTTATCAGCGTTGTATTGAGTGAAACAGGTCAAGATTTCTTACTGAACATGTACATTTGAGAGTAAAAATTGAATATTTTTTTGTAATGCGCTGTGAGATTGTTTTTAATGTTTAACAAACATAATTTCCCCCCAATATATTTACGCTGTTCCCTATTTCATGAAGAATCATGTTGCGTCTGCCAAATGTTGGGCGAGCTCTGGCTGGAGCCACCAAGGGCAGCATGGCTCCATCCTACACCGGTAAGTTATCTTCGGTTGTTTATGTGCATGTAGGTTTGTGTATTAACATTTTAATGTAAATTATATTGATTAAACTATGTGCATTTGCTTTAGTGCGGACTAATGTGCGTGCTGCCAGCAACATGGTGGAGGTCTTTGTTGATGGGAAACCAGTGGAGGTGGAACCTGGTACTACTGTTCTACAGGTAAATAATTCATTAATTTAATTGCTTATTCACAGGATTAACAATGTGGTAATGCATCAGTATTATGAATATTTTATTTAATCTAATGCACTCTAAGAGGACAGAGTCTAACTTAGTAGGTTTGGGCAAGTACAGTATGTGTTTTCAGATTCTTAACGTCTTAAGTCAACAGTCTCAAACTTGGGCCTTAAACTGGACAGTGATTTCAAACTTGACCGGCAAATTGGTGCCGTTGTTAAATCCAGCTTCTTTCACCTTAGACAGCTGGCCAAAGTAAAACCTCTCCTCTCTCATGAACACTTTGAGACAGTAATTCATGCCTTTGTCACATCCCGGCTGGATTACTGCAATGCCCTTTTCTTTGGAGTCAGCCAGTCCTCCATTAAGTGTCTCCAGCTGGTCCAGAATGCCGCTGCTCGCCTCTTGACTGGTACTCGTAAGAGGGAGCACATAACTCCTATTCTGGCATCCCTTCACTGGCTCCCCATACATTTTAGAGTTATTTTCAAGAACCTCTTATTTGTTTTCAAATCTCTAACACTGGTGTTATCAATGTCTAATAATGTCTGCGGACCAGACATTATTAGAAGTACCAAGAACTAAACTGAGGCTCAGAGGGGATCGAGCCTTTTCTTTTGCTGGTCCCTCTCTCTGGAATGACCTCCCACTGAACATTCGGCAAGCCTCCTCCCTGCCCATCTTAAAAACCCGCCTCAAAACTCACTTGTATTATTTGGCATTTGACTCAGCATGACTTAGATTTGTTCTTGGTTTTGCTGTTCAGTGCTTTCTACCGTCTTTATTACCGATTTGCTTTACTGTTTGTTGTATATGTTGAATTGCTCCATGTACAGCACTTTGTATGCAGCGATGGCTGTTTGAAAGTGCTCTATAAATACAGTTGAGTTGAGATGAGTCTTGTGTTCCCCATCAGGCATGTGAAAAGGTAGGAGTCCAGATTCCAAGGTTCTGCTACCACGAGCGCCTCTCGGTGGCTGGAAATTGTCGCATGTGTCTCGTAGAGATTGAGAAAGCTCCAAAGGTAAGATAGTCAACTTGATTTGTCAGAAATCTACACATATCAGACTCCTGACAACAGAATGGCTGTTGCAACTTTGCTTCTGCCTCTAGCCGGTGGCAGCCTGTGCCATGCCCGTCATGAAGGGCTGGAATATCCTCACGAACTCAGAGAAGACTCGAAAAGCCAGGTGCAAAAATCAGTCCAACTATAGCTGCTGAACAGTCTTCACAGTGTAGGCAACAATTTAAACAGATCTAACGATCTTTTGTGTTACCAGAGAGGGAGTGATGGAATTCCTGTTGGCCAACCACCCATTGGACTGCCCAATTTGTGATCAGGGAGGAGAATGCGACTTGCAGGTAACTATTGTATTGGAAGCAAAAAGAGAATGAATGATTTTTTTTTTTTTTTACTACTCAGCATTATTGGTTGCGGTGCTTGCAGGATCAGTCCATGCAGTTTGGTTCCGACCGCAGTCGTTTCACAGAAAAGAAGCGAGCAGTGGAAGACAAGAACATTGGACCGCTTATCAAAACAATCATGACTCGCTGCATCCAGTGTACACGCTGTGTCCGGTAAAAAGACATTTGAATTTTTGTGATGATCAGGGTTCTAAATTAACACTTGCCATTCTGCCAATTGTGTGTTAAAAGGCATTTTAGCGGTTGTTTACAAAAACTGACTAGCCAGTTTGGCCAGTGATGCACAAGGCAATCGTGTCTCTAGTTATACTCTACAGTACGCTATGTTTTATTCTTGGTCATTTCTACCTCTAAAAGTGACTTCCTATATTTTCAATAAATACTGTGCCAGAATGAAGTTTCACACCGCTCTTGGCTGCACAGCGTTGTACCTGATATTTTGGGCAACTGTCCAGGGAATGTGTATTTGTGCCAGATGAAAGTTTTTGTGAATGCTCTCATTCTGGCGTCGGTGAATGGTTTTTGAACCACAGTTCATTTTTGTTCATGGGTGCCAGGTTAGAGATCCGGGAGAAAACCCAGTTAAACGCATGGTAAATGACCCTTCATATGGAGAGGGATAAGATTGAACCTTATATGGCAACCCAAGCCACCGCGGCTCATGCATTGGCATGCTTAATGTAAATATTGGGGCGGTTGTTTTCATATTTTCAGAGATTGATGTGCAAATAGATAGAGACATGCACATGAGTTTTGGTGGCGATTGGTCATAGTTTTCTAACATCAAGCACCTGGAAGTTGCAGGTGGGGCATTGTTTACAGTCGCTTGAAGACAAGAGGGCGTTAAGTTAGGATGCGTGACAACTCTTTTCTTACCTCAGCCTAGTTCCAAACGTAGATTGTATTTTTGCATGCACATAAAAGACTACAGTCCTATTATTTTAATAAATATTCCTCATTTAAAAAAAGAGCAACCAAGCAACTAGTTTTCCCTCATGAGATTGTAGGGTGAAAGTTGTCAACTAGTATGGACTGAATGGGTGGCAACACTGGGGGAATTCTAGTATTTTGAGGGTAATGGCTCACACCAACAAAAGAACGAACTTGGAAGTATTACAATTTTGGAACTTAGTTTAAAATGTTGAATTCTGAACTGTGAACCGAACTCGTTCATTTCCAAATTTGTCAACTGAGCTTTCCCAACACTTGCTGCACCAATGCCGGTGCACGCTACAGCCTAGACTGCTACCAGTGCAAAAAAATTACCAGAGGTGCAGTCGAACCTCTTTTCAACATACTCTGTTTACAGCGTTATCACCCTTGTAACATTCACGTTTCAAAGTCACAATTTCACGTAATTCATTTTCCATTTGTCTATTTTTCTTACAACAAAAACCTTTATAACGTCAACTTTTTCCCACAAAATTGTGAAAAAGCCTTCGTGACAACGAACCGCGCGAAGCTAACTGCCGCCGCGACTTTGCTTATGAACAAAATGTACAGCGTGGGATTCACCTCCATTGCCCAGCAACGCTACTGATCAACTCGTACACCGTTGTACTTCCGGAGGCACGGCGCACGTGGTCTGAAAACAAGTCCGGTAATGGAAGCAAATCTTGCTGTCTGTGAAGGCTGAAATTGTCTCTCGCTTTTGAAAGGGAGTTTCCCAGACAAAGATTAGCCAAGACTACGGATTAGCAAAGTCGATGATTTCGACGATCATCTGTAATGGCAACAGAATCATGGCAGAGTTTGAGGGCAACAGATTGAAAGATGATCGTAAACGGCTTCAGGGTGCGGCACATCCTGAACTGGAGAAGGCAATTTTCATTTGCTGACTGAATGTTTTCATAGATGAAATAGGAACGCTACAGTTGTTCGTTTTATGTCTCATAAAATCGTTTTTTCTTTAAACTTTATCCACGTATTTGTAATTGACATTTTAATACTGTATTACATGTTCATGTTTTTACATCTATAAATGTTCATATTGTATTATACATTGTAGTTGGTGGCTGTTTATATTGGAAATGGTTAAGGCGAACTACCGTTGTCCAGATCTGTTATGTCCCTCGAGGTATGTTGAAACGAGGTTTGACTGTAGTGTGAGGGAGGTAGATAAAATCAACAACGATAAATCAAAACATAAGTAAATAGATTGCCTGGTGATCAAAAAAGTTAATTTAGAACCCTGGGGATGAGATATATCAACCGTAAAAACAAATGTATTCATTCAATATTGATTTCTTGCAGTTTTGCCAGCGAAATTGCTGGAGTTGAAGACTTGGGAACTACAGGAAGAGGGAACAACTTGGAAATCGGGACTTATGTGGAGAAGATGTTCATGTCAGAACTGTCGGGAAACGTTATTGATATTTGTCCTGTCGGCGCTCTCACCTCCAAGCCGTACGCCTTCACCGCACGGCCATGGGAGACGAGGTAGGTCCAATTACAGCTGAACCGACACAAAAGCAGGCGATCATATGTTTTGTTGACGACATTGCAGGAAAACTGAGTCGATTGACGTGTTGGATGCCGTGGGCAGTAACATTGTCGTGAGCACGAGAGGAGGGGAGGTGATGAGGGTGCTGCCCAGGCTGCATGAAGACATTAATGAAGAATGGATCTCTGACAAGACCAGGTAAAATGGCTGCTGGATCAGGATTCACGTCGGCTCACCGCACACCTAGTTCCCCAAAAAGAGAACAAAAGAGCTCATGATGTGTTGTTTTAGGTTTGCCTATGATGGTCTGAAGAGGCAGCGGTTGACTCAGCCACTGGTCAAGGATGAGTTGGGTCAACTGACTCCAGCCAGCTGGGAGGATGCGCTGATTCGCGTTGCTGGAGCGGTAAGTGTTTTTGCTTTCTTAGCATGCTTAGTCCATCACACGTTGATTCCGTCACACTTCATGACTGGCATAATTCATTTACAACCATCTTGTTCATCGATGCTTTTCAGTATTATGCCTTGAGAACAACTTTTCGCTTGCGGTTAAAGCGCAGAGGAGCTTGGAAAGTTGCAATTAACAGACATGAGATCCACCCTGTGTGTTCAGCTGCAAAGTGTACAGGGCAGCGAAGTGGCAGCCATCGCCGGAGGCATGGCAGATGCTGAAGCTCTCATCTCCCTTAAAGATCTCCTCAACAGGTTGAACTCAGAAAGCCTCTGCACTGAGGAGGTCTTCCCTATGGCTGGAGCTGGGTATGTACACAATTGAAACAAAAAAAATGCACGGAGCTCCCATGTGTCTCCATCTATTTCCCTTTGTTCCCCCTGCCTTTTCAGCACTGATTTGCGGTCCAACTACCTGTTGAACTCCCGCATCGCCGGCATTGAGGACTGTGACCTGCTTCTGCTGGTTGGGACTAATCCACGTTTTGAAGCCCCGTTGTTTAATGCCAGAATCCGCAAGAGGTAAAACCAGATTACCTGCATGTACGTTTCGCTTCAAAAGAAACCTTTTGAGTTCAACCTGTGTAGTTTAATTATATAGAATTCTATATTTTTGAAGATTAGTAAATTGAGCATTGGTATTATAAATTTCATTTTATTTAACCAGCTGAAAGTGCTACTCCCCATAAATCAGGGGGAACCTCAAATGCACTGTAATCTAGAGAGGTGACCTTTATTTGACCTTCTTTAAACTTTTGAATGGCCATGTGCAGTTGTTACCTTTTTCAGTACTTTTTGTACGTCGTACTGTTACGCTCGTATAAGAAGCTGAGTGGCAAAATTGACAGTGGGTGTTGTTGGTTTTTATATCTTGTTTTAGATGTGTGTGTGTGTGTGTGTGTGTGTGTGTGTGTGTATATATATATATTTGTTGTATATATATGAATGTCTATTTATGTAATCTTAAAAAATTATTTGCCAACAAAAAAGTTTGGTCATGCCTGATGTAGGCCTAGTGGGATTCTTTTATTTTGAAGGTGTCTTTTGCTGCTCGTCGGCAATTTATTTCTGTAATTCCTAATATGAAATAAATTAGGGGCGGCTGGCTTGACCTCATTTTTTCGAGTGGAGACCGACTTCACCAGAGGTGAAGTTCGGGTCTGTTACGTTTTATTGGTCACAGAAACCTAGCCACACGCTCAGATTCCCCACGCTTTCGTGCAACTACACGTGAGGCTAACCGTGGCACAAAGTGAAGTTTCATCGTCAGATTATCATGTCCAATGTGCAGATTACAACTCACAACAACTTTATTGCCTGCTTGCGATCCTGGTTAAAAAAAAAATGTGGTTCCGAAAATGGATAGATGGGTGAATAGCAAACGCTATGGCAGTGCACTGTATCGTTTTGTTATCACATTCATCATACCTGTTGGAATATTGTCGCAGCTTGTTGAAGTGTAGCTATGATGAGTGATATTTTATTTTATTTATTTATTATGTTGGTACTTGAAAATGACCCTTCACACTAAAACATGTATGTGTGTAGTGTGTACTGTTGAATGATCACTGCAAAGTAAATAATTCTAGGGGGTGATTTATTCTTTGAAGCATTAATGTTAAAAATGCATACATAAAACACTCCAGCATGCAGTCCTGCTCTATTGTTCCTGACAGAATTTTAAAAATAGGAGAATTCAGATAAATTATTTAGTAAGGAAGGAAATAAAAGACAGACCATTTTACTCAGCCACTTTGTTTATTGTATGTGTTGTTTTAATAGTTTTGAATGTCATTGCTGTTAAAATCCCGCAAATATTTTATTTGTATTCATTTCAATGCAAATGTTCCATATAGTTGAGAAATAAAACGTAATTGCATGCACTTTTCTGGAACATCATCATTATATGAGTGAAATTAAAAAAAAACAACAATAAAGAAATGATCATTTATTGTGAAACTTTCTGGGTAAATAATATCTGGAAAAAATAATTGTGACAGCCCTACCAATAAATAATTTTAATACAGTACACTGACTAAAATCAAATACCTATTATGAAGCCGGTGGTTGCCACTGACCGTTTCCATGTTTTGACGTATTTTGAAGGACGAGCATAGACAGAAACAATAAATGAAAAATATCACTCACCATTAGCTACACATCGAGCCTGGTCAGGTGTCATCTTCAAACCAGTGTTACGACATAATGGTACAGTGCCATAAAGTGTCTTCGTGTTTGTGCGCGCTTTCCTAAAACTTTGATGATGAAAAAAAGTTCTCTTTAACACATAGTTATTGTCTGTGTGTTATTGGATGCCATGATCTGGCGGCAAAATGTTACTTTGCACTGCCCTTGTTGTTCTCTTCTGTGGTCCCACTACTGCTGGGATGAATGTCTTACATCTAACTATGATCAAATTGTCCGAAGCAGGCGCCAGAGGCTAACCTCAATTCACGTTGTCCCGTCAAGCGCATGCCGGTCACATTTTTTTTCTTCCGTCATCACAACATCCTGTTTCTGCCCAGTTTTTTCGGTGATCAGACTTTCGGTTGAAAGCAGAAAAATGTACTTTGGGGCCATTTTTGACAGCTGTGACTTGCAATTTGAACTGGCTCTGTCGAGCCAGCATTTGAAGGTGGGTAATGGCCCAACACAGTTGTGCACTGACCAGGGACCATCAGGCCACCGTTAATGTGGAACCCTGAATCTCTTGTTTTTATCCTCGCAATGGCGAGGGACTGTTGATCATCTGTTCGACATTTGGGTCTCAGGTCAAAATGTGTATAGCATGATAAGAATTGATTGATTCATGAATCAAATATACGTGAATGTTACCATTCAGCTCCTTGGCAGAAAACAACGAAGTTCAAATTACCTTCCCCTGTAAGCTTATGTTGAATTTCGGAATATCCCAAAATTTCACCCGAAAGCCCAATATCCTTCACTTTTTCCGGGTCGAATAGGTCAACACTGGGTTGCCAATCCCCTCTAAAATATGCTGATTTCAATGTAAAAAAAAAACAAAAAAAAAAAACAAAACATTATGCTATGCAGCTTGTTGGAAAGTAGTGTTGGCTTACTTTTACTGTAGCTTTTCTTTCAAGATGAAAAGAACACAAACAGGAGATTCACTGTTAGCCCTGATTTAAAAAAAAGAAAAAAAAAGAAACAGTTCAAATGTCTCAGCCATGCCTTATTGTCTCTATCTGATCCAGCTGGCTTCATAATGAGCTGCGCGTTGCCCTGGTTGGTCACAATACTGACCTGAGCTACACCTATGACCATCTTGGAGAGGAGACATCTGTGCTGACAGAACTGGCCAATGGAACGCATCCATTCTGCCAGGTAACCGTTACACTCACTTGACTTTGGGGTTGCAAATGTCCCCAATCCGTATGCATTCCTGACTGGCTACTTCTTCCATCCGCAGGTCCTCGCAGCTGCAAAGCGCCCGGTCGTCGTGGTGGGCAGTAGCGCTCTTCAAAGAGAAGACGGTGCTGCCATTTTGAGCTCAGTGTCCACCATTGCTCACAATGCCAGAACCAGCAGCGGAGTGGAGGAAGGGTGGAAAGTTCTCAATGTCCTGCACAGGTATGAGAGGCTGATGATGCACAGCTATGGCAAAAACTGAATTGGATGCCAAATTTGAGCTTCTTTGGGCTTGAGCAGAGTGGCCAGTCAAGTCGCGGCTCTGGACCTGGGCTACAAGGCGGGTGTGGATTCCATTAGGGCAAACCCACCCAAAGTCTTGTTCTTGCTGGGTGCTGATGGCGAGTGTGTTACCCGAGCTGACCTTCCAAAAGGCAGCCTCATCATTTACCAAGGTAAATGCACGCCCACCATACAAACACATCAGTAAGTAATGCCAGAGTATACTTGAGTCCCTTTTGAAATCCTGCAGGTCATCATGGTGATGTTGGCGCAACAATGGCGGATATAGTGCTCCCCGGTGCTGCATACACCGAGAAAAATGCCACCTATGTCAACACGGAGGGGAGGAGCCAACACACACGGGTAGCTGTGACGCCGCCGGGAATGGCCCGAGAAGACTGGAAGATCATCAGAGCTGTAGCGGAGGTGAGCATGACGTTGCGCCATATGCCATATGGAATTCAAACAAACATTGACAGCCACTCAGAGACGCACTTGTGTGCCTGCAGCTGGCAGGTGTGACGCTGCCCTACGACTCCCTGGACGAGGTCCGATCCAGACTTGCTGAGGTGTCTCCAAACTTGGTGCGGTATGATGACGTGGAAGAGGCAAACTATTTCAAGCAAGCAAACGAACTTGCGAAGGTATGCCCACTTTTATTGCATTTGATCCTGTCTTACGCCTCCGCGAGCTTTGTTTTTCTGAGCTCTTTTCTCATGAGTTAATATGCCGTGAAATATTTGGATACAGCGGGTTTGCACAACTTAGGATACAAAAATTGGAGAGGAGTGATGCATGATCTGGCAACCGTTACATTTTATTCCGTCTGTTTTGGTAATCCGGACATTTTTCTTTGGACCATATGAGTTAGTGTCACACCATTGGAACTGTATGACTCTCACTATCATACTGGCACCTCCTCTCTGCTCCCCATTCTCTCTTAACCAGATCGTAACACACTGATGGACAAACAACCCCAAATAAATGCAAAGCTCTATGAACTATTTTGTAATTTATTAAGGACATTTAGTCATGTTGGAGTTCCAAAAAGTACACACATACATTTTGACTCTTTCATTTCTTTCTCCATCAGGGAGTGAAGCAGGACCTAATCGCAGCTCCTCTGATACCACCTCAGCTTTCAATAAAGGACTTCTACATGACAGGTATGAGCAATACTCACAGGTGGAAAGGCCAAAGTCGAGTCCATCTGTCTAAGTCAATTCTTTTTTTTTTTTTTTTTCTTCTGCTCCCCTTCTTGTTCAGACTCCATCAGCAGAGCCTCACAAACAATGGCCAAGTGTGTGAAAGCCAGCACAGAAGGCGCCGCCTCTGTCGATGAGCCCTCCATTTGTTAAACACCAACACGTGTCCCTACACTCTTCAGTCTATTAAAACAATCCACACTTCTGTAAACACAGTATTGCAGCATTTAATTTAAATATGTCCTTGTCGTTGTAGCTACCTTGATTGTTTTCACTCCTGAGAGCAAGCTTTGTTGGGATGGGGCTTTGAAAAATGTACAAAATGAATAAAATATTATCCAGACTGTTTTTAATGGGTGGTTTATTTAATTGAAATCTATTCAATTAACAGATTTTTCCCTCACATTTTTAATTAAAAAAATACACAATGATATGACATAGAGTGGCGGCACGGTGGTCGACTGATTAACACGTCCGCCTCACAGTCAAAACAGACAGGAAAGAATTATTCCAAAATAAGTCAACTTAAACTTCAAATATTTTCTTCTGCATATAAATGTGAAAATTATTTACAAACTCAAATAACACAACTGGTTAGCACGTCTGCCTGACAGTGCAGAGGTGCACGGTTCAATACCGGCTCCAGCCTTCCTGTATGGAGTTTGCATAATCTCCCCTTGCCTGTGTGGGTTTTCTCCGGGTACTCCGGTTTCCTCCCGCATTCCGCAAACATGCATGGCCGGCTCATGGAAAACACTAAATTGTCCGTCGGTGTGATTATGAGCGCGTATGGTTATTGTGTGCCCTGCGATTGGCTGGCAACCGGTTGAGGCTGTACTCCGCCTACTGCCCGAAGACGGCTGCGATAGGCTCCAGCACGCCCCCAACCCTCGTGAGGGTAAGCAGATTCAAAAATGGATGGATGCAAATGACATAGAATTAAGTGGTTGAATGTGAAATGTGCAGTCGTGTGTAAATGATAGTTTGTGTTTAAGGCCCAGTGAAAGGTTTATGTGAGTGTCTGCGGCTAGATTGGGAGCCGCTTTTTTGTGCGCCTGTCCTCAGGCCAGCTGGCTCGTGTCCCTGGGAATCAGTCTCCTTTGAGCAAGCAACAGCAGAGGAAGAGGAAAGTATCTTTTGTTGTCCTCCTAGCCAGTTCTCAAGGTCAGTGTGAAGTCAATTTGCTTCTGCCGTCCTTTATCTGCACTTGTGTTTATGATTTTCTCCGGTATTTAAATAGGGACAGTCTCCCGGTGTTATGAAATGGTTAAGCTCCTCATCTTGGGAACTCCGAACACAGGAAAGACAGGTAGACTGCTCGTGTAAAAATAAATTCAATCTGTTGCCCTGTCTTTCATCAAACTATTACACGGTGGGGAAAATAAGATCGGAATGAATATTTGCTCACCACAGCCAACAGTCAAGCCAGCTAAGAAAGAGCTTTGAAGCTGGTTATGTGATTTCTGTACACTCTTAAGTGTGCTCTGCCTATTTTATTTCAACAGCCTTGTGCGTCCGCTTCATAACCAAGCGGTTCATTGGTGAATATGACCACAAGAAGGGTAAGACGTTGCAAGTTAATGTGTTAAAAAAGAAAAGGGGGGGAAAAAAAAAATCTTCTTACTGTCTTCATGTCTTCCACCGCAGAGGTGACCTATAGATGTTGCCGGCTGGTCGACCAGGAAGCTGTTGATCTTGAAATCTTGGATACAGCTTCTGAGGTACATTTGTGGTGTTATTATCATATTGCCCCGAAATCCGTTGTAAAACCTTCACAACTTGTGCTTTAAGTATGCTTTTTATTATTCCATTTTCAGTCCACACAAGAATAAGTTTCAAAAATGAATAAAATATTATCCAGACTGTTTTTAATGGGTGGTTTATTTAATTGAAATCTATTCAATTAACAGATTTTTCCCTCACATTTTTAATTAAAAAAATACACAATGATATGACATAGAGTGGCGGCACGGTGGTCGACTGATTAACACGTCCGCCTCACAGTCAAAACAGACAGGAAAGAATTATTCCAAAATAAGTCAACTTAAACTTCAAATATTTTCTTCTGCATATAAATGTGAAAATTATTTACAAACTCAAATAACACAACTGGTTAGCACGTCTGCCTGACAGTGCAGAGGTGCACGGTTCAATACCGGCTCCAGCCTTCCTGTATGGAGTTTGCATAATCTCCCCTTGCCTGTGTGGGTTTTCTCCGGGTACTCCGGTTTCCTCCCGCATTCCGCAAACATGCATGGCCGGCTCATGGAAAACACTAAATTGTCCGTCGGTGTGATTATGAGCGCGTATGGTTATTGTGTGCCCTGCGATTGGCTGGCAACCGGTTGAGGCTGTACTCCGCCTACTGCCCGAAGACGGCTGCGATAGGCTCCAGCACGCCCCCAACCCTCGTGAGGGTAAGCAGATTCAAAAATGGATGGATGCAAATGACATAGAATTAAGTGGTTGAATGTGAAATGTGCAGTCGTGTGTAAATGATAGTTTGTGTTTAAGGCCCAGTGAAAGGTTTATGTGAGTGTCTGCGGCTAGATTGGGAGCCGCTTTTTTGTGCGCCTGTCCTCAGGCCAGCTGGCTCGTGTCCCTGGGAATCAGTCTCCTTTGAGCAAGCAACAGCAGAGGAAGAGGAAAGGATCTTTTGTTGTCCTCCTAGCCAGTTCTCAAGGTCAGTGTGAAGTCAATTTGCTTCTGCCGTCCTTTATCTGCACTTGTGTTTATGATTTTCTCCGGTATTTAAATAGGGACAGTCTCCCGGTGTTATGAAATGGTTAAGCTCCTCATCTTGGGAACTCCGAACACAGGAAAGACAGGTAGACTGCTCGTGTAAAAATAAATTCAATCTGTTGCCCTGTCTTTCATCAAACTATTACACGGTGGGGAAAATAAGATCGGAATGAATATTTGCTCACCACAGCCAACAGTCAAGCCAGCTAAGAAAGAGCTTTGAAGCTGGTTATGTGATTTCTGTACACTCTTAAGTGTGCTCTGCCTATTTTATTTCAACAGCCTTGTGCGTCCGCTTCATAACCAAGCGGTTCATTGGTGAATATGACCACAAGAAGGGTAAGACGTTGCAAGTTAATGTGTTAAAAAAGAAAAGGGGGGGAAAAAAAAAATCTTCTTACTGTCTTCATGTCTTCCACCGCAGAGGTGACCTATAGATGTTGCCGGCTGGTCGACCAGGAAGCTGTTGATCTTGAAATCTTGGATACAGCTTCTGAGGTACATTTGTGGTGTTATTATCATATTGCCCCGAAATCCGTTGTAAAACCTTCACAACTTGTGCTTTAAGTATGCTTTTTATTATTCCATTTTCAGTCCACACAAGAATAAGTTTCAAAATGTTGTTGATGAGAAGCCTCGGTGGTTGTCAAATTCATGTGAATTTGTGATTTTATCAAAAATGTTTGTTTTGCTCGACTTTCATTGGTGTTTAGTATTTTAGAAGCGTTGCACATTTAAAGAAAAGTAACTCTTTTGTGTGCGTGCGTGCGTGCGTGCGTGTGTGTGTGTGCGTGTGTGCACGTGAATGTCCCACATTTGCAGAAATATCTTATAGTTATAATATGCAATAGAAAATATTGATTCTGAAAGGAAAATCATTGGTGTCAAGAGCTTTCAAGTGTTCTGCTGGCGTTGTGTGCGACAGGGGAGCTGCGCGCCTTCTCTGGAGGCATCCATCCGGTGGGCGGATGGCTTCCTGTTGCTCTATTCCATCACTCACCGCCAAAGTTTTCTGGAGGTCTCGCGGCTCAAAAGACTCATTGACCAAACCAAAGAGAGTCTGGGTAAGAAAGGAGTTGACTCACGCCGACGAGAGACCTCACACGTATTTGACAGCAACGTGGTTGCCTCACTAGTAATGGTAATACATCAAGACTACTGACTAACCCAGCAAAACACTCGAACCAGCCCTTCGTGATCTGCGCAGGGACAGTGTGTATCTTGGCTCTCTGTGTAACCTCTGGATGAAGCCTGCCTATTGTCACCTTGACACACACGCACACACTTGCTCACACCAGATACTCACCATGTTGTGGAGATAGAAGTGTTTACTCGGCCACGTATGACACTATTCATAAAATTCTCGAACAAAGATTTATAAGTCTCCATCCAGGAAGTAACTCTGCATATGTGACTCAGCTGTCCCAGCGGTGCTGGTAGCCAATAAAGCAGACTTGGAAATTGGCAGGGAGGTGACAACAGAGGAAGGACAGAGGCTGGCCCTTGATTTAAGGTTTGTATGCATGTCCAGTAGATGCACATACAGTGCATGAACTTGGATCAGGTAGGGCAAGAATAATGAGCCAAGTGATGTGCGTGCGCCTCTGCGCACGTCTGAAGGTGTGGTTTCAGGGAGCTGTCAGTGGCTGATGCTGTTTTAGCTGTGGAAGCCGCAGTTTTTCAGCTCATCAGGTTGGTTTCAGTCACGTATTAACAACATACACTTGTCAATCAAACACTGAGCGATGTCAACAAAATGCTTGCTTCCCTTCCATTAAAGAAAGAAAGTTGAAGCAGATTATAGTGCAGTAATCCCCGGGCCATTGTGGCGGTTATGTTCCAGACCAATCTGGTCTTTGAATACAGTTTTCAAATCATACAAACACATTTGAACAAGTATAATATATTTAGTGAGTGAAAGAGCAATGAATAACACAAAACTATTGTACAGTGAGTGTAACAGTGTACCTATTTAGAGTACCGTAAGTGAATCCTATTTTATCCAAAGTACCTAACTTCACTTAGCTCACGATATAGGCGACGTCAATAAACATGAACAGAGTTGTATCAATAAAATGAACCGATAGCAGGAATACAGTATTTGTTCAATAATGTTCAACAAAAGTTTGGCTGTGCTGAAATCCAGTATTTCCTGTTTTGTTCTATCAAATTTACACTGGTCTCACCCTAAGTGTGCCACTCTTGTAGTAGTGGTCATCAAAAATCTGTGAAATAGCGGGACTGCAAACCTGGAACCCATAATGGAGCAATAAAAAAAATATATATATATATAGTAGGACTGAAAATTAACCAAAGAAAATCATCCATTGCTTCATTTTTGTGGTCCAACAGAATTATTTTAAGATGGCCTCAAAACATTTGTGGCACAATTCGCTTAATATTTCTGCAACTCATAAGTATTTTCGCACAGCCCTCCTGCTGTCTCACATGTTTCAGCACCTTCCACAGATGTTCAATAGGATTTGGATCCGGACACTTGATAATTGACCAATGTTTTGTTCTTACACAATCTTATGACAATCTTTATCTTGAAATATGAAATCGTTAAAAGTTATTCTGGAGAAAAACAGTGCGGCCCAGTGTCAGGATGCATGGTTTCAGCTGCTTGTCCTCCACAAGGATAAAGTCCCAAAAAATACGCTGAACAGTAAACAAAAAAAAAATCATATGGTGATTCTGAAAAGAGCCGTGACCATGATTTTTGTCTTGGCCATTTTCATGAGTTTGTGTTTTAAAATCATTCTGTTGGACCACAAAACAAGAGCCACGCCTGATTCTCAACTAATTTTCCGTCCCAGTACTCACGCTGGGCCTGTTTTGCCACCCATGTGTGACAGGCGAGTCCTGGATCAGCAGCGGCTTCTGCCTGACCGCCGTTCCTACATGTTGACTGTGCGCCACGCTCTGACCAGGAAACTGACCCGATCAAAAACCGTGCAGTGGTGACCTTAACACACTCATTGCACTCTTTGGCTCTATATTAAATCTACACGTGAACTGCAGATTTGGTTTCTTCTTCAAGGGTGTGACAAGCATATTATGGGAAATTTGCATTGTAATCAGTGGAGTTGGGTTTGTGCCCACCCATCAAGTGTGAAATTAAACAACCATATCTATATTTTGTTATCTGCCTATTTCTGAAAAAGTGTGTCCGCGGGCTGCGCTGCACTTTTGCCCCACCTTTACAAAACTGTGTGGCAAATTAACAATACAGACTATATCAGCCAATGACTCAGCAGATAGGCTGGCTAATGTTCCATAGCGAAAGACTCATTGTCATGTCAAAGCCAATAGGTAAGCAAATCTGCAACGCATTGATTAGAGATGGATAACAGTGTTAGCTGCAGTAGCGTCCGACAACCAGCCCATACTGAATGACTGGGTGAGCGGGCGATGGTTTTGTCACACAACCACAGTGCAGTGGTGCTTTGAAATAGAGGTGACCTGACTTTCAACTTTCTCCAGATATCAGGCGCTGTTCGGCTGACTATTTATTTATTTTATTTTTGAAGACAAATGTTTCAGCAACAACATATAGTGACACATGGTGGAAAAACTAAATCAAAAGCACAACTAAATCCTGAAAAGACCAAAACTCAAAGGAACAACAAAATGCACCACCATGATAAACAAAGCATGACCGCAACAGAAACAAACAAACAAACAAAAAAAAACAATGAGAAGTTAAACATTAAATAAAACCTAATCTAAACAAAAATAGAATCATCAAAAGATGTTTCTATGAATGACGTTCTATGCAAGACATGCCACACTGCAGTATGATTGGCAAGGGCTGCCCCTTCATTCAAGAGGGATACATAGCATCTCCTCAATGAACAGTAGACTCTTCTATTTCCCACAGGTGACTAAGGTGGGCCCTCCAGGAGTAGTAAGTAGCATTTAATTGATGCAGTGTGACAAAAAACGGTTTCTTTTTAATTCCATTTAAATATGTCACTACTGTGTGTTATGAATTACAATATTATGGCGTGCTATTTTTCCTCATTAAAATACACATTACATCTATTTTTTTTTTTTTTTTGTGAGCGTGAATGGATTAAGAAATTCATCAATGGGAAATTATGATTTGTGTCGGGAGCGTGGTCACAGAACCACTGTAACTCGTCTCTTAAAACACCTCTGTCAACGAATTGACAAGTGTGCTTGAATGTCTGTGTGAGCTGATTTATGAGTAATTTAGCCCGTGGGGCCTCTGTCGCGAGTAATAAAAGTTGCAGAGATTTATTGAAGCAGGGATTACAGTAGTAAAAAACAGTGTTTGCTTCATATGAGCAGCACTGTGAAAAAATGCGGGGCACTACTCACAGTGAACGGTTAGTTGCTTTGAGCCAGTGCTTCTCCAATTATTTTCAGTTACAATATATAAAACACATTAGTCTACAAAACAAAACAAAAAAACATTTGTGCTGATGTATTTTTTTTTTTACATCAAAATGAGGAAGTCAGGATTGATGGCTACGATGAGCACCTTTTGCAGTGCACAACTTTTCAAGCGGTTGATCAGCGTGATTGAGGTGTCATGTCTTTTAAGTGGTGCCTTAATTTATTTGGCTTTGTGCTGTCCGGAGCCAGTATTTTTCGACATAGCCAACACACCGGTCTTTACTCGTCTGTCTTCCACTGTAGTCGGCGGTGAAGCCAAGCGCTTTATTCGCTTCGTCATACAGTATTTCCTTGACTTAGCTTTCGGGTCACTTTCTTTTGTCTCATTATCTTCGTCTCTCGCCGCCTTTCTTTTCATCCCTGTCTAAAAAAATAATTGTCTCCTTAGGCTTTTTTTTTTACTGCATTTCATATCGTCTGCTCGGTGCAAAAAAACAAAACAAAACTACACCATCGAGCTCTCTGACAATGAGGGCGCTACAGCCAACTGTTGTAGTGGATGTGCAATTACACTTTATTCTATTTTCCTTGGAAAAAGAAAAAACGCACGTTCCCCAGAGTCACACGGCCCTGGCATCGCCCCCCCGTGCCCCACTATTTGAGAAGGACTGATTTAAGCTAAGGGCACCAACTTTTTTTTACCCACACGGTAGACTTTGGTTTTGCTTGTAGAAGTAAGTAGCCAGCCCCTGGGATTGTTCTGCGGGGACAGCCAAACGCCGGCAAGAACGCGGAAAAGACACCCAACCCGTTGTTTGTCATTCATTTCTAAAGGCACGCTCACGATATGCCCAACGTATGTGGGCAAAGATACACAAAATGTCTCTTTAAATGATGAAAAGAGACATCTTAAACACCCGTCTCAAAAGCGAACCTTCTCTAGCATGCAATGCGCGTCACCTCCAGTAGATGGCAATGTCTACTGATATTTAAAGCCTCAATAGCCTCACATGGATGTCACAGCAATACCAAACAAACAATTGTTACTCACGTGTACTGACAATGGAGTGATTAGACAATAAAGTGTCTGATGATCATGTCATCATTTAGCTAGCACACTAAGAATGAAGTAGGACTTTTGATTTCAGTCTCGGCTCGGTTTTCCTCGCCTTCTCTTGCAACTCTCGGGATGTGTCTTTCAGTGTAAAGAAAACGAAAAGACAGAAAATGAAAAACTATGACTGAAAGAGGAGATACTCGGCACCATTTCAACAGATGTCTTATTTGTGGAGAACAGGGACCACTTGCTAAAAGCTCATAGCAAAGCTAAAATGTCGCAGCAGGGCAAAACCCAGATCAAGGTTTTACATTTTCAATTACCAGCCTTATTTCAAGGTTAAGCATAAATCAATATTCACCATCATGAATGTCTGCCTCCATGACTAAACTTGTACCTCTGAACAGCTGTGGAGTGAATGACGGTCATATGAATGTTGGATGTTGATGAGGAGGGCTGGTGACGTCATAGTGGTCACCGAGGAGACAAAAGGTCCAAATGGTAAGTAAACTCTTTTGGCCCAGAATAGATGATGAGTCATCGTGCATTATTACGTAAGCAGCCAATTTGCCGACTTTCCTGCTCATGACTGGCAACAACCAGTTAGAATCACAGGAGCTTCCATCCCTTTATCTATCGATCCATTTCATTTTCCCGCTAACCCTGTTAATATGGTTGAGGGAAATGAAAAGAAGCGAAAGTCATGATGAAAATGTGACTATTTCCCATGTTTTTGTGTGGATAAGAGTTTTCATAAATAGTAAAGTTTCTCTGACAAAAAAGATCAGAGATAAGTAAATTCCAATTTATGACACAGTCTCGTGGAGGTTTCGTCCCAAAAATTGGGACAATTTTGCGTTCAACCCAAAGGCCTCAGAAGCGTGACAAAACTAAAGTTCAAACTATTATCTTTCAATACATCAAACAAGATGTCTTTCATTCATTCATTTTCCGTTCTGCTTATCCTCACAAGGGTCGCGGCGGGTGCTGGAGCCTATCCCAGCTGTCTTCGGGCAGTAGATGAGGGACACCCTGAACCGGCTGCCAGCCAATCGCAGGGCACACAGAGACGAACAACCATCCACGTTCACACCTAGGGACAATTTAGAGTGTTCATTCAGCCTGCCATGCATGTTTTTGGAATGCGTGAGGAAATCGGAGTACCCGGAGAAAACCCACGCAGGCCCGGGGAGAACATGCAAACTCCACACAGGGAGGCCGGAGCTGGAATTGAACCTGGTACTGCTGCACTGTGAGGTCGACGCGCTAACCACTGGACCACCGGGCCGCCACAAGATGTCTTGTGAGACTTAAACATATAGTGAGCAGTGAATGGATTCATGCCACAAGCGTTTGCTTTTTCACTCTCATCTTCTCTGATGATGTCACATGATGGTAGAAAAAAGAAAAGAGCGATGATGCTGAGAATTTACTTTTGTCTCGCTACTCAGTACAGTAGGAGCAAAATGGTACATTTAACATCTGTACATAAAAGTTTATGATTTAATAAATGTTTTTTTGCTGACACATGTTCACTTTATGTTCTTTTCGATGCGGGGAAAATATATATTTCTAAGATGGTTCATCAGTGTGACATCACAGATTATGCTCAAATTTCGAGGTTCCTGTCGTAGACAATCAAAACGATTGGCTGTTGTATGAAGAAGCCTACGGTCCCATTGGCAGGTGGCCCTTTGTTGGAGCATAGCATAGCGTCTTCATAATCAGAGGTGGGGAAACAGCCTCTCCCTTAAGGAGTTCGAACTTTAGAAAATAGGGACGATGAGATGACGATCACACAATCGAAGAAGCAGGTGGAAGACAAGCAGGAGCTCATTAGGTAACAATCGAGAAGAGTGCGTTATTAACTGTGGTTCTGTGTCAAAGAGGTATTCTTTATTCCGATACGTTTGGAAATGCCCCAGATTTTACAAACGAGGAGCAAATCCCCTGGCAGGCCCGGACAGATTCCAAAATGGGTTTGCAAGGTTGAACTTTGGTGCTTGAAGGTAAATACAAATACTGTGAGGACCTGCCCACATGCGTAACTTTTACTGTGTGTAAGAATTCATCCCACGGAAACATCAATACCATTTCAATTATTTGGGTTTCTTTGTCTACGACAGCCTAGGCCGGTTTCAATTTCCATGCCGTGTTTTGGCAAACTGCTCAATGTAGTGAATGCAAAATGGCAAAATCTACAGATGTACCATAACTGGTCCTCTCGCTGCATCACAGATTGTGTAACAGATCAGAGATACAAACAAAAGTGTACACTTACAATAGGTCCGGCTCTTCTCACGCTTCTACATTACATGCAGTCTTGTTCATCAAAGTGGGGTCTGGAGCTGCAGAACAGTTTTTTCTCAAAGGGGAGTGAGTAGCTTAATCCACACAGATTCAAATTTGGGGGACTGCAGGGTTACAATTTGAAATGAAGGATTAACAAACAGCTTTAAAAAGTCATGGAAATAGAGATGACAGCAACAGTCGGCAATAGAGAATCACACATTAGTGTTGCCCTGTTGCGAGTCTGTCGTGGGAACCTGGCAGCTTGGTTTGACATTTATAGTATAGAAGAGTGTAGCATATGTACGATGCCACGAAAAAAGCTTTTGTCCCCTTCCTGAGTTCAGTGTTTCTTTTTTGCATATATGATCAC